GCCAAGACACGCGCGCACCCTGCACGCGGACGCACACCCTGGACAGGAACCGCCTCCAGCGAGCACCGCGTCTCAGTGCCGACCCCCACCCCCGCTCTGGCGCAGCTCCAGCACATTGGACGACCTCCGCGGCAGCCGCTGGTAAATGGAGTCACGGGGGTTGAGGGGGCACCTAAAACCCCCATGTAAGTCCGTTCGCCCTCTCACAGCCCTCCTGGGCTCAGGCCTGTGAGGATGTCACCTCCTCCAGGAAGCCTTCCCTGACCACTGCTTGCCGCTCCCACAGGCTGACCCAGTGCTCCCTGCGGTTCATGTTCCCACGGCTGCAGCTCCTTTCTTGCGGCAGACACACCCCCTCCTCCTCCCACGCCCCGCCCCACCTAGCACGGCAGCAAGGAAGCCCCTCGCCCTGCATGGCCGCTACAGCCACCTTAGGGTGAGGAAGACCCTGCTTCAGCTGCCTTGGCTCAGATGACCAAGCCCAGCCCACTCATCCACACCCTGGGGTGGAGGCCCCGACCGCTCTTGCAACTCCATGAAGGACAGCAAAACCTCCCGCCCTAAGAAGGCGCCAGGGCTGGGCACAAGGGGCATCCCGACACAGAGTGGAACCCCCAGGGGGCAGGGCTGCAGTTGGGATGAGGGGACCTACTCCTGGGAAGGTGGGCCAACCCCTCCACAATGGAGGTGACAGATAAGACACGTGTGACTGCCGGGCGCGGTGGCTCACACCTGTAATCCCAGCACTTTGGGAGGTCGAGACGGCCAGATCACGAGGTCAGGAGTTGGAGACCAGCCTGGCCAACATGATGAAACCTGGTCTCTAAAATTGGCTGGGTGTGGTGGCACATGCCTGTAATCCCAGCTACACAGGAGAACTGCTTGAACCAGGACCCAGGAGGCAGAGGTTGCAGTGAGCCGAGATCACGCCATTGCACTCCAGCCTGGGCAACAAGTGAAACTCTTGTCTCCAAAAAAAAAAAAAAAAAAAAAAAAAATACATGTGCCTATGGCAGCCCCTGCAAGAGCCACTCAGAGGGCTCCTCCTAGGGTTGCAGTGGTCCCAGAAGGCAGGCCGTGGGGTACAGCGGGCTCAAATAGCATTAGGCGGTAGGTACCTCAGGGGCCAGTGCCACAAGCTCCAAGGCAGGGCCCGCATGGGCCAGGACTTGGGAGGGAGCCCCACCTGCCACTCCCTAAAGGCAGACACCAGAGGTGGGGACCAGGCCTTCCGACATGTGTCTGGGTGACTTTGGGAAGGCCATGCCCTGGGTCCCGAGAAGCAGGTATCTGGACTCAAATCCCAGCCTGTCCCTCCTTCTGGTCCATCCTGCCTCCCTCCCTTGGGTCAGGGCCCCAGGGTCACCCTGCTCTGTGGCAGGCGGTGACCACATATGGTCACACAAGCCCAGGTTCTTGGCGCAGCTCAGCGAGGCCGACAGGACACTCTGGGGAGTGGGCGGGCAGTGCCGGGGCACACTGGACCCTCAGAAGGGGCCATCAGGAAAACATCTCAGGTACCGGTGCCCCCCAATCCATGCCGGGCACACACCGTCCTCATGCAGTGAGCTCCTACTCCCAGACCGCAAGACCTCCAGGGACACTGGCTCCCAGGCCACAGCGGCCCAGAGTGGACCTTCCAGAGGCCATATGCACATGCCTGAGACCTCAGGACAGTGACCCAGGGACGAAGGAAGGGGTGGCATTTCCAGCCCACATGAAGACAAACAACACATTCTAGGTTGAATCAAGGCAAGTTGTCTTCAGAGACTGGGATCCCAGATGGAAAAGACACAGTGAAGTTTAATCAGGAACCCAACCTCCAGTCCCTGCTGCAATCACAGAAATAGCTCCAAACTTGAGGGGGGAACCCCCCCAATGCCTGCTTTTGGCCCAAAGCTCTGCCTTCCAGCCCTCTTCACACCCACTGGCCACCCAGGATCAGGAAAGGGGGGTAGAGCCCTGAGAATTCCGGGTCTGGGGTCACCGGCTCCCACACCTGTGCTCCCCAGCCCAACACACATGATGCCCAGAGGTGGGCAACCCCTGACAGCGGTGGCCAGCACTCGGGAGCTCCTGCTCAGCCACCTGCCACGGCCCACCCTGGGGGTCTGGCAGGAGCCAGGACAGTGCATGGCAGCCTGAGGCCCTGCTGCAGACCGACTGCCTTCAGAAACAAAAAGTCTGGGCAGAAGGGCATCCCCAGAGTGGCAGCCTGGCCTGCACCCCAGCTGTGCTGCCCCTGCAGAGCCCCAGCAGTGAGCCACACCATCAGGGGAGGGGACTTAGGTACCAGGGGCCTCACTGGCTCTTCACCAGGACCCTGTAGAGCGAGAAGCTGAGCACTGCGGCCATGGCGGCCCCGAGAACCCCCAGCAGGCCCCGGAGCCAGAAGGAAGAGGGATGCAGCTCTGCGTGGACCAAATGTCTGCAAGAGAAAAGGATCATCTGCAGATGCCTCAGGCACATGTCCCTGGCTTGCTGCTGGGCACCCTCCCATGTCCTGGACTCACAGGGCCTCAGAGCCAGGTTCCCAGACCAGAGGCACAGCTGGCAGAGGCCAGGCCCTGGAGCAGCACGTCTGGACACTGGCTCCCTCTGTCACACAAAGCTCCACCCCGTCCGTCACTCTGGCCCCATTTCCAGGCCTGACACCACAGCTGCCCACTGCCCAGATGACAGACGCTGCCAGTCCCCAGGGCTGTGCTGCCGGGTACCCACGGGAAGGTGGCCATGGTGGCAAGCTGGGTGAAGACGGCAGTGCTGGGCTCGGCTGGGCCAGCACAGGAGAACGGCACAGGAGCTGGTAGCCGGTGCTTGCGGCAAAACTCGGCTGGCGATGGGCCAACCGGCACACCACCTTCGGGCAGGTCAGCCTTGGAGGAGACGAAGAGGCAGGGGGTCTGCCCGTCCATGTAATGGTGCTGTGGGCAGAGAGCAGTATGAGGTACAGTCTGGGGTGGCCAGACCCTGCCCCGTGGCCATGTGGCCCTTGCAGGGCCCCACCTTGTAGACGCTGGCACAATGTGCAAAGGACTTTGGGTCACTGCCATCAAACATCAAGCAGGCAACATCACAGGCGGCGTCCAGCGACGTGGCCAGATCATCTGTGCCCACCTCACACAGCTGGGACAGACAGTGGCCTTAGGGAGGGTCCCTGGGCTCGGTCCCCCTAGGGCCGTGCTGGGCCAGCTCTGCCAAGCAGGCCCGGGTGACCCTGG